GGGCACAACAAAAAACCACAAAAACAAAAAAGGGGAAACCAAAAGGGGGGAACACAACAGGGGGCCCCCCCCCGGGGGAAACCACACACAAGAGGGAACCCCCCCAAAAAAAAAGGGGAACCCCCCCCGAGGGAAAAAGGGGGGAAACCACCACAAAGGGGGGTAAACCCCCAAAAGGGGGGGAAAACCCCCAAAGAGGGAAACCCCACACCAAAGGGAAAAAAAAAAACCACACAAAGGGAAAACCCAAAAAAGGGGGAACCCCCACAAAGGGGGGAACCCACCCAACCAAAAGGGGAGGGAAAACCACAAAAGGGAAAACCCCCACAAAAGGGTCCAACCCCCGAGGGAACCCACACCAAGGGTAACCACCCCAAAAGGAGGGTCCCCCAAAACCCCAAAGAGGAAACCCAAAACCACAAGGGGGAAACACACACAGGGGGGGTAACCCACAAACAAAAGGGTAAAACCACACAAAAAACCACACAAAAGAGGGTAACCACACACAGGGGAACCCACAAAAAGGAAGGGTAACCCCCCAACACAAAGGGAAACCCACAAACAGAGAGGGTAACCACACACAACAACAGGGGGGTAACCACCCCCCCCAAGGGTAACCAAACAAAAAAGGGGGCCCACACAAGGGTTACCAACCCCAAAGGGGGAAAAAACCACAACAAAGGGCCCCACACACAAGAGGGAAACCCCACACAAGAAAACCACAAAAGGAGGGAAACCCAAAGGGGGAAAAAAGGGGGGGAAAACCAAACCCCAAAGAGGGAAAAAAAAAAAACCCCAAAAAGGAGGGCCCCACAAACGAGGGTAACCACACCCCCGGGGGGGAACCCCACACACAGAGGGAACCCAAAAAAGGGGGAAACCAAAAAAGAGGGTAACCCAAAAAAACCCCCCGGGGGAAAACCCCCAACGGGGCCCACCACACAAGGGAAAAAAAACCCCAAAAAAAACCACAAGAGGGAAAAACCCCACAAAGGGAAACCACACAAAAGAGGGAAACCACACGGGGGGGAAAAACCCACACAAGAGGGTAACCAACCCCCAAAGGGAAAACCCAAAAGGGGGGAACCCAACAAGAGGGGGGGGAAAACCACACACAGGGGAAACCCCCCACAAAAGGGGGGGAAACCACAAAAGGGGGAAAAAAGAAAAAAACACACAAGAGGGAACCACCCCAAAAGGGGGAACCCACACAAGGGGAACCCACACAAGGGGGAACCACACACAAAGGGAACACCCCACAAGGGAAAAAACAAAACCCCCCGGGGGAAAAAAAAAAAAAGAGGGCAAAAACCCCCGGGGCCCAACACCAGAGGGAACCAAACAAGGGGCCCAAAAAACCCCAGGGGGTAACAACACACAGAGGGGAACCACACACACAAGAGGGAAAACCACCAGAAGGGAAAACCCCCAAAAAAAAAAAAGGGGGGGAACCACAAAAAAGAGGGACCACACAAAGGGGGAAAAAAAGGGGAAACCCCAAACAGGAGGTAACCCACACAAAGGGTAACCACACCAAGGGAACCACCCCAAAAGGGGGTAACCACCACAAGGGGGGCCAACAAAAACCCCCCCGGGGAAACCCACACAAGGGGGAACCACCCCAAAAGGAGGGCCCCCCCAACCAAGGGGGGTAACCCCCCAAAACCACCCAAAGGGGGGCCCACACACAAGAAAAACCAAAAAAGGAGGGAACCACCACACAAAAGAAAAAAGGAGGGGAAACCACCCCCAGAGGGAACCAACCACAAAAAGGGGAAACCAAACACAAAGGGTAACCACAACAAAGAGGGGTCCCCAAAACACAGAGGGGGAACCACACAAAGGGAAACCCCCCCGGGGAAAAAAGGGTCCCCCAAACCAAAGAGGGTAACCACACAAGGGTAACCCCCCCAAAAGGAGGGTAACCCCCAACGGGGGAAAAAGGGGGAAAAAAACCACGGGGGGGGAAAACCCCCGGGGGGGGCCCAAACAGAGAGGGTAACCAAAAAGAAGGGTAACCCCCCCCCCAAAACCCCAAAAAAGGGGGTAAAACCCAAAAGGGGGGAACCCCCCAACAGAGGGAACCCAAACAGAGGGGCCACACACAAAAAAGGGAACCACCCCCCAGAGGGGGAAACCCACCACACAGAGAGGGTAACACACACAAAGAGGGAAACCCCCACACGGGGGAACCAAAAAGGAAAAACCCCCAAAAACCCCCCCCCAAAAGGGGGGAACCACACAAAGGGGAAACCCCACACAAAGGGAACCCACAAAGAGAGGTCCCCCCAAAAAAAAAAAAAAAACCACACACAGAGAGGGTAAACCCCAAAAAAAAAAAGGGGGGGAAACCACAAAAAAAGGGGAAACCCACACAAAAAAGGGTAAACACACCAAAAAACCCCCCCAAAAGAGGGGAACCAAAACCCCCAAAGGGAAAACACAAGAGGGTAAACACACAAGGGGGTCCCCACACACACAAAAGGTAACCACACCCCGGGGGGGAAAACCACAAAGGGGGAAACCACACACGAGAGGGTAACCACAAAACAGAGGGGAGGGTAAAAAACAAAAGAGAGGGGGTTTAACCCCCACACACAGAGAGGGGAAACCAAACACACCACAGGGGGGAAACCACCCCACCCCGGGAGAGGGAAAACCACCCCCACACAGAGAAGAGGGGAAACCCAAACAGAGAGAGGGAAACCCACCACAAAGGGGAAACAGAGAGGGAAACCACACACAGAAAAGGGAAACCCAAACACACAGAGAGGGTAACCAAACAAAGAGAGGGTAACCACACACACGAGAAGAGGGGTAACCACACCACAGAGGGGAAAAACCCCAAACACGGGAGAGGAGGGTAACCCCAAAACCGGACAGAGGGAAACCCCAACAAGACAAAGAGGGAAAACCACAACAGAGGGGAAAACCCCCAAAACACACAGGGGGGTAAACCAACACAGGGGGGAAACCCAACCCCAAAACAGAGGGGGGTTTAACCCAAACAAACAGAGGGGGAAACCACAAACAGAGGGGGGAACCCCCACAAGGAGGGTAACCACACCCCCAGGGGGGAAACCACAACACAAGGGAACCCACACACAGAGAGGGTAACCACAAAAGGGGAAACCACAAACAGGGGTTTCCCAACAAACAGAGGGGGTAACCAACACAGTATAAGTAATCTCTCTAAACCTGAGTTGGGCCAGTGGGAAAGCTTTCCATGGGGCCTTTGGGGTTTTAACCCGGGTTTTCAAAATTTTTGTTGTAAACCTTTTTACCCAATTCTAGAGAGGGAAAAGAGAGAAAAAGAAAAAGGACGAGAGGGGGAAAAGAAAGGAAAGGGGGGAGGGAGAGCCCCCCCCGGGAGGAGGGGCAACCCCAAAGGGAACACAAGAGGGGGAAAAAAGGAAAAAAGAAAAAGGACAAGAGAAGGCCCCCCAAGGACGCAAGTGGAAAGAGGAAAAAGAAAAAAGAGAAAAACAGACCGAGGGGGCGAAAAGAAAAAGGAAACCCAGGAGACCAAAGGGGAAGACAAAGGGGGAAGAGGGGGAAAGGAAAAAAGAGGACAGAAAACGGGGAGAGGACGGGAACAAAACGGGACAGAAGGACAGACAGACAGACAGACAGGACAGACAGACAGACAGACAGAGAGAGAGAGAGAGGAGAGAGAGAGAGAGAGACAGACAGACAGAGATAGAGATGAGATAGAGAGACGGGGGGGAGAGAGAGAGAGAGAGACGGGGGGGATAGAGAGAGAGAGGAGTGTTAATTAACCAAAACAAGGGCAGAGGAGAATGTGCTTTGATTGACAGCTGGTTCAGCCTACCGCGCGGATGAGTCCGGTGCCCGTCTCCATGGTGCTGAGGCGTGTATCTCCGATCTTCAACGCCAGGATCTGGGCACCGGGGGCAATGCCGTTCCGCTCCGGCTCGTCTGGGAAGTGACCGGCCGCTATGCTCGCCACGTGGGTCCCATGAGCCCCTGAACACACAGAGACAACCCAAGGCCATCTAGTCAGTGGACAAGATGGAGGACAGATTCCTACAACACAGAGATCTGAGTGAACCCTGACCTCCGCTGGTGACGATGCAGAGAGTGTTTCCTTCGTCGTAGATGTTAACTGAGTAGTTCAGCATCTCAGCGTCTCCCAGAGTAGCAAACTCCTGCTTCTCCCTGTAGGAGGCCAGAACCCTGCAGCTAAACAGGTCCCCAGTCTCTGAGGTGTCCACCACAGCCCTGTAGAGGAATGGGAGTAGAGGGTAGAGGTTAGAGGTTAGAGGTTAGAGGGTAGAGGTTAGAGGGTAGAGGGTAGAGGTTAGAGGGTAGAGGGTTAGGGAGTCATGGTTAGGACACATAAAGACAGGTCCCCACTCTCTAAAATGTCCACTACAGCCCAGGTGGGGTAGGATGAACACAGATGGATAAGACAGGGGACGAATACTCTCATCACTACAAATGGAGGAATTGCAGGAAGGAGAAGACAGGGGACGAATACTCTCATCACTACACATGGAGGAATTACAGGAAGGAGAAGACAGGGGACGAATACTCTCATCACTACAAATGGAGGAATTACAGGAAGGAGAAGACAGGGGACGAATACTCTCATCACTACACATGGAGGAATTACAGGAAGGAGAAGACATGGGACGAATACTCTCATCACTACACATGGAGGAATTACAGGAAGGAGAAGACAGGGGACGAATACTCTCATCACTACACATGGAGGAATTACAGGAAGGAGAAGACAGGGGACGAATACTCTCATCACTACAAATGGAGGAATTACAGGAAGGAGAAGACAGGGGACGAATACTCTCATCACTACAAATGGAGGAATTACAGGAAGGAGAAGACAGGGGACGAATACTCTCATCACTACACATGGAGGAATGCAGGATGGAGAAGACAGGGGACGAATACTCTCATCACTACAAATGGAGGAATTACAGGAAGGAGAAGACAGGGGACGAATACTCTCATCACTACAAATGGAGGAATTACAGGAAGGAGAAGACAGGGGACGAATACTCTCATCACTACACATGGAGGAATGCAGGAAGGAGAAGACAGGGGACGAATACTCTCATCACTACAAATGGAGGAATTACAGGAAGGAGAAGACAGGGGACGAATACTCTCATCACTACAAATGGAGGAATTACAGGAAGGAGAAGACAGGGGACGAATACTCTCATCACTACAAATGGAGGAATTACAGGAAGGAGAAGACAGGGGACGAATACTCTCATCACTACAAATGGAGGAATTACAGGAAGGAGAAGACAGGGGACGAATACTCTCATCACTACAAATGGAGGAATTACAGGAAGGAGAAGACAGGGGACGAATACTCTCATCACTACAAATGGAGGAATTACAGGAAGGAGAAGACAGGGGACGAATACTCTCATCACTACAAATGGAGGAATTACAGGAAGGAGAAGACAGGGGACGAATACTCTCATCACTACAAATGGAGGAATTACAGGAAGGAGAAGACAGGGGACGAATACTCTCATCACTACAAATGGAAGAATGCAGGAAGGAGAAGACAGGGGACGAATACTCTCATCACTACAAATGGAGGAATGCAGGATGGAGAAGACATGGGACGAATACTCTCATCACTACAAATGGAGGAATTACAGGAAGGAGAAGACAGGGGACGAATACTCTCATCACTACAAATGGAGGAATTACAGGAAGGAGAAGACAGGGGACGAATACTCTCATCACTACAAATGGAGGAATTACAGGAAGGAGAAGACAGGGGACGAATACTCTCATCACTACAAATGGAGGAATGCAGGAAGGAGAAGACAGGGGACGAATACTCTCATCACTACACATGGAGGAATGCAGGAAGGAGAAGACAGGGGACGAATACTCTCATCACTACAAATGGAGGAATTACAGGAAGGAGAGATTGGGAAAGGATTAAGACAGGAAGGAAGAAAAGGATTTGATCCAGTACATTGTGTTCCTCCTACCTCCATGTATTTCCGTCGTTCCACAGCAGACAGTCGTAGACCGGACCCGGGTCGTTGTACTTCTTCTCCAGAGACGCCAGCAGCTCCGACCGGCACTGCAGCTCATCCTTCTGGAGCTTCTCAGCCTGATAAAACACACAGCAAAATGGAAAAAAAAACTGAAAACAATTCACACACACACACAAATGTGTTGTGCTCAGGATTGATATATGCACACTAGGGATGTGACAAAACGTACAATTGTTCACGTTTAAAACTGCCATTTTAAAAATCGTACAATAACGTGAATTTACAATTCAGATATGGTCCAGACATGTTAGATCGCTTCAATGCCTGATCTAACTGTAGCTCAGTTGGGTAGAGCGTGGTGCTTGCAACGCCAGGGTTGTGGGTTCGTTTCCCACGGGGGGCCAGTTGGTAGAGCGTGGCGCTTGCAACGCCAGGGTTGTGGGTTCGTTTCCCACGGGGGGCCAGTTGGTAGAGCGTGGCGCTTGCAACGCCAGGGTTGTGGGTTCGTTTCCCACGGGGGGGCCAGTATGAAAAATGTATGCATTCACTAACTGTAAGTCGCTCTGGATAAGAGCGTCTGCTAAAATGACTAAAATGTAAAATGTCCAGCGGATGACCCAATGTACTCTATATAAACCATTGGTATGACAGCTAGGGGGCAATGCAGTTCATTCTACCACGATCCTGGCTAACTACCAGACGGAGCAGTTCATTCTACCACGGTCCTGGCTAACTACCAGACGGAGCAGTTCAGTCTACCACGATCCTGGCTAACTACCAGACGGAGCAGTTCAGTCGACCACGGTCCTGGCTAACTACCAGACGGAGCAGTTCAGTCTACCACGATCCTGGCTAACTACCAGACGGAGCAGTTCAGTCTACCACGATCCTGGCTAACTACCAGACGGAGCAGTTCAGTCGACCACGGTCCTGGCTAACTACCAGACGGAGCAGTTCAGTCGATCACGGTCCTGGCTAACTACCAGACGGAGCAGTTCAGTCTACCGCGATCCTGGCTACCTACCAGACGGAGCAGTTCAGTCGACCGCGGTCCTGGCTAACTACCAGACGGAGCAGTTCAGTCGACCGCGATCCTGGCTAACTACCAGACGGTGTTCACCGTACTGCTATCCCCCATCCACTCAGCAGCGATGGTTGTAGGAGCTGTTCTGGCTGTTTAGGAGTTGTGTATATGTTGTCTGTCACTAGAGGTCAAGGGTTATTGTAACTTGTTTTGTCCACTAGAGGGCGCTATATGTTGGGGGGTCATATGTATATTAGGTAGCACAGGTGACCAGCAAGGGTTAGCACACGACGTCAGAGGAGAGGGCATACAGTTCTTATCTCATTACATTTACATTTTAGTCATTTAGCAGACGCTCTCATCCAGAGCCACTTACAGTTAGTGAGTGCAGACATTTTCCATACGCACAAAAGGCAGGGTTGAATCTACATTTGCCCCGGCATTTTAGCTATCGATGTGACGTTTGGCGGCGCCTAATCGATCAGTTCTGTACCTGCCCGGCTGAGCGGCATTGTGGGTGGAATGAGCGAGATCGTCTGGCGAGCACAGCAGGAAACAACTCAGAAGTCTGCCTGGATATTTTTCATTAAATATATTTGATAATTATCCGTTCTTCTCTCATTTTAATTCAATTACCAACTTGAAAAAGTCAGATTTTCAAGGTATTCCAGTGCCAAATTCAAGTACCTTAAGCGAACCCTGCTTAATGCAAACAGGATTCATGTTTTGGAATATTTGTATTCTGTACAGGCTTCCTGCTTTTCACTCAGTCATTCACTGTAGGTTAGTATTGTGGAGTAAAGTACAATGTTGTTGATCCATCCTCAGTTTTCTCCCTTCACAGCCATTAAACTCTGTAGAATGTTTTAAAGTCACCACTGGCCTCATGGTGAAATCCCTGAGCGGTTTCCTTAGGCTTGCCATGATAAAAGGGTTGAATACTTACTGACTCAAGATATTTCAGCTTTTCATATTTTTCCCTTTATGATGATGATAAAAAAAAAAAAAAAAAAAAAATATTTTCAGTTAGGGATTTTTTTCAAAATGTTAACAATCCCAATGTCGTTTAAACATTTATATATCCCTAATGCACACATATCGTTTACACACACACACACACCAAATTTGCCCATGAGCAGAGAGATTGTCTGGCCTGTGAGGGTTAGGGGTGAGAGGTCAAAGTGTTACCTGTGAGGGGGAGGGGTGAGCGATGTCAAACTGCTCTGCCCGGCGACTAGCTTCAGCCAGAGCTGCTCTGTGTGCTGGATCCCACAGCTTCTCCTTTCGCTCTTTCTGTTGGACGACACATCAACATAGACATCCTTCTGTCAATGTGTTTGTTGGTCAATATAAGCATACACTATAAATACAAAAGTATGTGGACACCCCTTCAAATTATTGGATTCGGCTATTTCAGCCACACCCGTGTGCTGACAGGTGTATAGAATCGAGCACACTGCCATGCAATCTCCATAGACAAACATTGGCAGTAGAATGGCCTTACTGAAGAGCTCAGTGACTTTCAACGTGGCACCGTCATAGGATGCCCCCTTTCCAACAAGTCAGTTTGTCAAATTTCTGCCCTGCTAGAGCTGCCCCGGTCAACTGTAAGTGCTGTTATTGTGAAGTGGAAACGTCTAGGAGCAACAACGGTTCAGCCGCGAAGTGGTAGGCCACACAAGCTCACAGAACGGGACCGCCGAGTGCTGAAGCGCGTAGCGTGTAAAAATCGTCTGTCCTCGGTTGCAACACTCACTACCAAGTTCCAAACTGCCTCTGGAAGCAACGTCAGCACAAGAACTGTTCGTCGGGAGCTTCATGAAATGGGTTTCCATGGCCGAGCAGCCGCACACAAGCCTAAGATCACCTTATGCAATGCCAAGTGTCGGCTGGAGTGGTGTAAAGCTCGCCACCATTGGACTCTGGAGCAGTGGAAACGCATTCTCTGGAGTGATGAATCACGCTTCACCATCCGTCAGTCTGATGGACAAATCTGGGTTTGGCAGATGCCAGGAGAACGCTACCTGCCCCAATGCATAGTGCCAACTGTAAAGTTTGGTGGAGGAGGAATAATGGTCTGGGGCTGTTTTTCATGGTTCGGGCTAGGCCCCTTAGTTCCAGTGAAGGGAAATCTTAACTCTACAGCATACAATGACATTCTAGACATTTCGTCGAAATCGGTGTGGAAGAACTTGACTGGCCTGCAAAGAGCCCTGACCTCAACGAACACCTTTGGGATGAATTGGAACGCCGACTGCGAGCCAGGTCTAATCGCCCAACATCAGTGTCCGACCTCACTAATGTTCTTGTGGCTGAATGGAAGCAAGTCCCCGCAGCAATGTTCCAACATCTAGTGGAAAGCCTTCCCAGAAGAGTGGAGGCTGTTATAGCAGCAAAGGGGGGACCAACTCCATATTAATGCCCATGATTCTGGAATGAGATGTTCGACGAGCAGGTGTCCACATACCTCTGGTCATGTAGCGTATATTAACGTGCAAATCCTTGTTACTTGGCCACACAAATCCACTCCATACCTGGATTCTCTCTCTGAGAGCTTTAGGGAACAAGTCATATCCATTTTTGATCCCAATGTGGTACTTTCCTGATGGATTAACCCAGGTATGAGGGATCTGAGGAGAGAGAGAGAGACATGTATTTATGTAACAATGGGCTGTAAAGTGACAGAGACATACATGTATTTATGTAACAATAGGTTGTAAAGTGACATGTATTTATGTAACAATAGGCTGTAAAGTGACAGAGACATACATGTATTTATGTAACAATAGGCTGTAAAGTGACAGAGACATACATGTATTTATGTAACAATAGGCTGTAAAGTGACAGAGACAGACATGTATTTATGTAACAATAGGCTGTAAAGTGACAGAGACATACATGTATTTATGTAACACTAGGCTGTAAAGTGACAGAGACATACATGTATTTATGTAACAATAGGCTGTAAAGTGACAGAGACAGACATGTATTTATGTAACAATAGGCTGTAAAGTGACAGAGACATACATGTATTTATGTAACAATAGGCTGTAAAGTGACAGAGACAGACATGTATTTATGTAACAATAGGCTGTAAAGTGACAGAGACATACATGTATTTATGTAACAATAGGCTGTAAAGTGACAGAGACATACATGTATTTATGTAACAATAGGCTGTAAAGTGACAGAGACAGACATGTATTTATGTAACAATAGGTTGTAAAGTGACAGAGACAGACATGTATTTATGTAACAATAGGCTGTAAAGTGACAGAGACATACATGTATTTATGTAACAATAGGCTGTAAAGTGACAGAGACAGACATGTATTTATGTAACAATAGGCTGTAAAGTGACAGAGACATACATGTATTTATGTAACAATAGGCTGTAAAGTGACAGAGACAGACATGTATTTATGTAACAATAGGCTGTAAAGTGACAGAGACAGACATGTATTTATGTAACAATAGGCTGTAAAGTGACAGAGACATACATGTATTTATGTAACAATAGGCTGTAAAGTGACAGAGACATACATGTATTTATGTAACAATAGGCTGTAAAGTGACAGAGACAGACATGTATTTATGTAACAATAGGCTGTAAAGTGACAGAGACATACATGTATTTATGTAACAATAGGCTGTAAAGTGACAGAGACAGACATGTATTTATGTAACAATAGGCTGTAAAGTGACAGAGACATACATGTATTTATGTAACAATAGGTTGTAAAGTGACAGAGACAGACATGTATTTATGTAACAATAGGCTGTAAAGTGACAGAGACATACATGTATTTATGTAACAATAGGCTGTAAAGTGACAGAGACATACATGTATTTATGTAACAATAGGTTGTAAAGTGACAGAGACAGACATGTATTTATGTAACAATAGGTTGTAAAGTGACAGAGACATACATGTATTTATGCA